GTAAAGAATTACATTTTAGGGAGTAGTGTTTACAGTTCAAAAGATATCATGTCCGAGCTTATTTATTATTATTTCAAGTTAATCTTGACAGATTAAGAATCTTTATTGAGTAGTCTGTATGTGTTATGTCCATGAACTTCTCTCTATGAGATGTTGCGCTTACTTTAAATGTTTTAATTTTTCCATTTCCTGCTCCGCCAGTATATGTAATTTTCAGTATACCCCTCTTCATGCCCTCTCATTTGTGTTACAACCACTTTTCATACCCAACCTCCTTCCAGGCTATACTGAACGGTTTCCTCAGTGAGTTTTCCCAGGCAGTGAAGGACTGTGCCGGACAGATTGTGGATGCAGCTGTGGAGATTTATAACCGTTTAAGTGTGGATCTGCTGCCCACCCCAGCCAAGTCCCACTATGTTTTTAATCTCCGGGACCTCTCCAAGTGTGTTCAAGGTGAGTATTCCTTTGGTCTTTGGCTGCTTTTTCATTCATTGGCAATCCAGTCCTTGTATCTGACTATTTTCAGAGAATTATTTTCTTGGTTTGTTAAGTGGCTTAACACTGACCTGTGAACCATTCAAGCAGGAAAAACGCCCCTAACTGAAGAGCTGAACCAGGATAAGTCTACACATAACAAACTTCACAAAGAACCAATTTCAGATTGTATCTTCGGGCACTTTGTTACTAGCAGCCTGTTGCAAAAACTCATAATTTGTTGCCATCTTTTGAATCTATGAGAAATGCCAAAAATAACACAACTTGACCATCATAAAATTTTAATTTTACAATGACAAGGTGAGTCGCAGATTATTAACCGAATTTGACCTATCTCAGGATGGTGTGCCCTTAAATAATCTGGGGAAACAGGACAAGTAGAGCACAAAAGAACAACCTACTTCAGATATAGTATCTAAATGTCCTTAAGAAATAGAAAAAATATGCAGGAAAGTCCTGACACAGGACCTGAGAGATGCATTTCAGAGCAACACCCACACAGTTTTTATCAGAAGTGGTCTCGTTGGAAGGGTGGGTCTCAAAAAAATTCCGTTTTAAGAGAGGGAGAAATAGTTAAGGTTTGCTAAATTACACAAGAACTGGATTCCTCAGAGTTTGTACCTTGACATTATTGAAGTAGTGTGGGATCATCTATACAGGGAATAGAACAAGAGGAAGTCAAGCTATAAATAAGAGCTTTGAATGTCTTCAACAAACCTGAAGAACTATTCCTGAAGACTACTTTCAAAAACTGCAAGAAAGCTTACCTAAGGGTTCAGACTGTGTTGAAGAATAAAGATAGTCTTACCAAATATTGATTTTCAAGCTTGTTGTGAGTATATAGATTCTCTCTGTTGATTACCAGGCATACTGCAGTGTGAGCCAAGTCAAGTAAGAGACAAGACCCAGATCTTCCGCCTTTTCTGCCATGAATGCCAGCGTGTATTTCATGACCGACTCATCAACACCCAAGATAAGACCTACTTCAACACCATCATCTGTGAGATGGCCGGTAAGAACTCTCACAGTCCAGCCTCTGACTTTATTTTCTGAATGCTCAGTTAATTGTTATCAGCTCAAAATCTATATTTTGGCTTTATGGGTTTAAGATAGACCTCTCTCTTTTTTGCCAGGGCGATATTTTGACATCCACTTAGAGTCTTCACATTTTGTGTCTCATCCCATAATATTTGGGGACTTCATCAAGGTCAGGTTTTCCTCCAAGCAACTTATTTACAGGTCGACACAAAAATACTGTACATTATTTACTGATTTGCAGTTTTGTTCTGTGTCCACCTAATCATCCACATAGATGCATGCAGAAAAAGAAGATCGCCTGTATGAAGACCTGACAGACATGAATAAGATCCAGACTGTACTTCAGGACTATCTTGATGATTACAACATGACCTTCTCCAAGGAGATCAAGCTGGTTTTCTTCCAGGATGCCATTGAACATGTCTCCAGGTGAGTGAATTTAACTTATAGTTATAGTTTCTTAACAGGTAGTTGATTTATTTTAGCTGTAGTTGGGACAAACTGAGTCACACAAAGGCAGTAGCAATACGAGTGATTGTGTTTTATTGGTTTTTAAAATAGAACATGCAATGCCTGTGATATGGACTGTAAGGATCATTTATCCATAATAATAATTACTTGCATGTCTAATTAGCAGACATACCTTCCACATAAGTAAAATGCAGGCACTCTTATTTTAACATCAGTAATAAAATTTAACTGCACATCTTCTGATTTTTTTTAAAGGTAGTGTCATATCAAGTGATTTGATCTGATTATAGCTAGCAGTACATTTTCTAAATGACAAGATGCATGTGCCATATGGAATGAAATAATCTTATTATTTTTTAGGATTGCTCGTATAATTCGCCAGGAGCGAGGCAATGCCTTGTTAGTCGGGGTGGGAGGTACAGGCAAGCAGTCACTCACTCGCTTGGCAGCCCACATGTGTGGGTACCGCTGCTTTGAGATTGAATTGAGCAGAGGGTACAACTATGACAGCTTCCATGAAGACTTGAGGAGGCTCTACAAGATGGCTGGTGTGGAGGGCAAAGATATGGTGTTCCTCTTTACAGATACTCAGGTATTGCAAAAAGATTGCAACAAAAGTACTTACAGTATTTAAGTTTCTGTGTACTTACTGTGTTTAACTATTAAATCTGTTGTAGATTGTAGTAGAAGAATTTTTGGAGGATATAAACAACATGCTAAACTCTGGTGAGGTGCCTAACCTTTTTGAAAAAGACGAGCTAGAACAAGTACTTGCTGCTACCCGCCCTAAAGCCAGAGAGGCTGGAATCAGTGAAGAGAACAGGGATGAGGTATGTACGGTACTTATGTAAATACATAAAGTGTAGAAAACATGTGTCATTTAAGCAGTAAAGATTAAATACAGTGTCAAGTATATCTACTTTATTTGTGAGAAAATAAATGAATTAAAATTTTCTGTGAAAGTTAGGATAAAGTTACAGTCAACAAAAATTAACAAATACAATCTCGACACAGAACTTTGTTTTCGGATACTACCCAAAATTTTAACAAATTAGAAAGTGGGAAGAACGTGGAGTCATGAATGTTCATATCCTGAAAAGTGTTGTTTTCTAATCGAGTGGCTTTTCTTAAATGTAGGAAATCATTCTTTAACTACCAGATATAATCACTTAGTGTTTTCAGCAACAGTACATAGATCTGCAACAAGATAAACAAAATGAAATTAAACATTAATTTCTGATATAAGAGAAGTATGATGAAGCCTGACCTTTGTGAGTTGTTTAAAGAAGATAATAAACACCTAGCAAAGCATCTGAGATTCCCACTATGGGCTAAAATTTCCACAGACTGTATAAAAGCAGACAGTTAAAATCAGTGTCCCAGGCAAAAGGAAAGAACACATGAGAGCTGATGCTATTTGCCTGTTGTGATCTTCTATGTGTGTGTGTCTTTTTTACGTGTCTGTGATGGTGCATTCAGGTGTTCCAGTTTTTCATCTCCCGTGTACAAGAAAAACTACACATTGTGCTGTGTATGAGCCCTGCGGGCGATGCTTTCAGGTCCCGATGTCGCATGTTTCCTTCACTGGTTAACTGCTGCACTATTGACTGGTTTGTGCAGGTATGCTGATATAACTCTGTTTCTCTGATATATATGAATCACTCAGTATATACGTCACTACCCTTGTCTATGGAATCACTCTTGTTCATGTAAAATATTTCTAATATAACCCTTTTTTTTTACACCACCGTCCCTTTAGATTGAATTCTTTTTCACAATCTATAGCTTTAAGGTAGTCCTATTCTGATTCCTCTCTTTTTATAGAAAAAAAAAGTGTCATCATCGTCATGGAAGTTGTAGTTTCTATATTTTTTAAGCTTCTTTTGAATTTACTAGTTAAAAAAAAACTTTTTACAATTTCTGTTTTTAAATAAATGTTTTATGTCCATCTGCTGGCGCTCTGCTGAATAACTGTTCAGTTGACAGGAGCTAAAGGTCAAAGCTACATATCGTTGTCCTCGCTGCTAACTTTATGTCACTTTCCTCTCTTTCGCTGTACGTTCTGGTGCTCAGTGGCCCCGGGAGGCGCTGCTCTCTGTCTCTGAGGCCTTTTTCCAGAATGTGGACTTTGGCAATGAGAAGCTAAAACAGAACATCTCTGCGATGTGTGTCGAGATACACGTTAGTGTCACTGAAATGGCTGAGCGCTTCTACTTAGAGCTGAGACGCCGGTACTACACCACACCTACCTCCTATCTAGAGCTTATCAACCTCTACCTCAGCATGCTTGGCAACAAGAGACAGCAGTTAGTTCTGGTATGTCAACACAATTATGGGCAATTTTTCACATATGTTGTTGATGATGAATTGTTACCTGATATTGTGTAGGAAAAATAGCAGCTAGATACATTAGCTGGTGGTGAGTGCTAATAGTCAGTTTTATTTTTACTGTGACTGTAATGCATCATGAGTTGTTATGTTGATTATATCAAACAGGATAATTATTTATGCGTGTGTTACTGTATAGGCCAGGGATCGTGTAAAGAATGGTGTCACTAAGCTGCTGGAGACCAACGAGCTTGTAGACAAAATGAAGGTGGACCTTTCTGCTCTGGAGCCAGTCCTCAAACAAAAATCTACTGATGTCGATGCCCTCATGGAGAAATTGGCTGTAGGTCAAGACAAGGCTGATGAGGTCTGTCTGTGTTTTATCACAAAACTTTCAAAAACGTGTCTGATGTTGCCTATATTTCAATTATAAATCATGGTAACTCTTTGTCATTACTTCATGAGCATAACTAAAATAATTCTCCTTGTCACAGGTACATAAAGTAGCAGAAGAAGATGAGGCACTGGCCCGAGTTAAAGCTGAAGAAACCCAGGCCATTGCAGATGACGCACAGAGGGACTTAGATCAGGCTCTGCCAGCTTTAGAGAGTGCCAACCAGGCCCTCAGATCTCTTAACAGGGCTGACATCTCTGAGATCAAGGTGTTCACTAAACCCCCAGCCCTAGTGATGACTGTCATGGAGTCTGTCTGCATCTTGCTTGATTGCAAGTGAGTGTGCACTATTTTCTTAAAAAAATAATAGATAAATAAATAGCTTCTTAACATGATACACTTTTATTAGGTATCCACCCTGCACTGGTGATGGTTTCTAAAAGTGCAACTCTTTATAATCACAATAATGTAATAACTTTATCACTCCTTCACTTCACCGGGACTATTTTTTCAATCTTATGTATTTTGCGTTTAACATTAAACAGAGATGACTTGCAGATTTCACCATTCACTAATCTACTGCATTGTTGATCTGAATTAAATCTTCACAATATCCTCTTTAGGATTTTGAAACTTGCTGTTCTGCCCAAAGAATTTTCATTATTTTGAAAAGATCAACTAATGTCACGGTCTAATGTATCGAGCAACCGTGACATTTCTTTAGTCCTTATTTGTTAACAGTGTCTCACTAACGTTCTTCTCTCCTAACAGACCAGACTGGCTAAGTGCCAAGCAATTACTGGGCGATCCCAACTTTCTCAGGCGTCTGACAGAATATGACAAGGACAATATCAAACCTCGGATCCTGCTGAAACTACAAAAATACATCAATGACCCTAATTTCATGCCTGAAAAGGTCAGTTTGGATATTTTGGCAGATTAAAAAATGTCAACGTACAAACAGAGCCAGTGAAAATAACATCTTCTTACTGTATCATTATGGCTAAACACGTGGTTTTTCAGATAGTATCACCTATCAGAAATTCTGAAATGTTTCAGTATGTTTTTGCTTGGCCTAATTTCTTATTGTGTCGCTCTTGTTAGGTGGAAAAGGTATCAAGGGCGTGCAGGTCAATGTGCATGTGGGTCAGAGCTATGGATCTGTACTCGAGAGTCTTCAAAGAGGTTGGCCCCAAGAGAGAAAAACTGGCCAAGGCACAGGTCAGTTACAGAGTGCATTGTTGGTGTGCCGTCATTGTTAGCTGAAGCTGAAATAAATTCATGCTCTAGGTTTACCTCACTAAGGAAAAGTATGTTCTTACAGGCTTATTCAAATGTAAATTATTAAGTGTTTCAAAGTAATTATAAGGATTCAACCTGTAAAAGAAATAACAGGTTTGTCCTGTGGGAGCCCTGATTTAGGGTTTTAACATTATCTATCAGAGTTGTGTTAATTTTAGCCACATCATACAGGTTAAGGGGGAAAATATAATTTAGATGTGAAATAGTTTGTAATATTTTGGTTTTTTTGGTTTGTTAATAGTGTTACACTAAACCAGGACAAAAAATATCTGTATTTGTGGGACTATGACTGCTGACATTTAAGTAAAATGTTGATCTAAACATTATTTCTTCTTCATAAACATAAGAAAGAGTTAGTGTCATCTGTGTTACCTGCTATATATAAACACAAAGCAACTTAGTGTCTTTAGCAGACATATTACCAATGCACCAGATCGTGATAGAATGATGAGGTCTAAAGAAGGAGATGATCAGTTTGACGCTGTTCACTAGTGGATCATGAATCACAGTTTACATAATGGAAGTTTGTAAGCTACCCAGTCTAAGATGGGTCACTGCAAAGCCAAGTGTTGGTGGTGGTCTTCAGCTCTCTCATTAGTATTTTATTCCACTCGCTGTTTCAGATTATTGGGGAATTTTAGAAAATTTAAGGCAGGAGACTCTTATTTTCAAGACAAACGCATTGCTGGATTTCTATGGGCTTGTAGTACTGTAGCTAGAGCTATGCCGCTTATTGCTTTAAGGAGCAGTCAAGATTTTGGCCAGAGTACGTTACAGCACTAAGTCTGATGTGGGTTTGGCATATGTGCACTAAACTTAATGATGAGAAATAAAAACCAGACCAACACGTACAGTACTTCCAAATATTGCTTTAATGATTCCTGTATGATATTACCCTACCATTTCCTTCTTCATCTGTGCTTACTCATTTGTGCAGGAAGAGCTGGATGTGACCATGGCAACCCTAAAAGAGAAGCAGAAGAAGCTTCAGGAGGTGGAGAACCAGATCAAGGTCCTGCAGGAGCAGTTTGATAGCAGCATGAATGACAAAGAAGATTTGGGTGAGAGTTGTGCCAAAAAGTGCAACATAAAATATACTCTGTGAAATAAGTTCTACCATCTGTCTTTTATTAAATGTTTGATGTACCTTGCTGTCTTTGGCTTGCTAAAATTCTTTCTCTTTCTTTTTCATCAAAGTTAATACGATGGCTCTGACACAGGCCCGTCTGATCAGGGCAGGGAAGCTAACGTCCGCTCTTGGTGACAGAACAAGTATGCTGGGAAGAAAGTGTAGCCCTGTTTGAGCAAGAGATCATCAATGTTGTGGGAAATGTCTTCATTGCAGCTGCTTGTGTGGCATATTATGGTGCATTTACTTCCCACTATAGACAGCTGGTAGGTACAGGTTTATTCTGTGCTTTTTAAGGTTTTACAGGCTGCTCTAACAAAGAATTAGCAGCTTGTGCCTTTAGTATGAGTTTAGTCTAATTTTTGAAAATCAGTAGAAAATGGGACACTACATAAGACAAACAAAAGCTGGGCCCAGTTTTCTTACTACTGCTAATTTGCTCAGTCACACGCAATCCCCACTATCGTAATGGCCTTACACCTTGTTTGTTTTTATTATAAGACAGGAAATAACATGTAATAATAAGGGATGAAATCAAATACAACCTGAGTTGTTGTGCTTGTGTGCGCTCTGTTTCCCTCTCACCAGCTAACTGACCAGTGGATAACGCAGTGCCAGAACCTGAACATCCCAATCAGTTCCACTTTTAGCCTGATTAACATTCTTGGTGATCAATATGTCATCCACCAGTGGAATGCAGAAGGTTTGCCTCGTGACACTGTTTCTACAGAGAATGGCATCCTGGTGACTGAGGGCCACCGGTGGCCTCTTATGATCGACCCACAGGATCAGGTGAACTAGAAACAAGTTTCCAGCAGCATCCATGTAGTACCGATAATTCCAACACTGATTACTTTATGAATGAAATGGGTTATTTTTTTAACACTTTAACTTCTCAATTATCTGTATAATCCCAAGTCATTAATATTCATTTCACACATTTATTACACGAGAACCTTAATTTTAAAACTAATTTTGATTTTGAAAATAGTGGTATACAGTTGCATAACAAGGATAAATAAGTTTAAATTCGTTCTTACAAATTTTTTAAAGAAGTCATCTTCATCACATTAGGGATTAAGGATATTTCTTTCATTCTCAGGCCAACCGATGGATCCGCTCCAAGGAGGCTAAAAATGGTCTAAAGGTGATCAAGCTAACAGACTCTGGCTTCCTTCGTACCCTAGAGAATGCCATAAGCATGGGTGTCCCTGTACTGCTAGAGGAGGTAGGATTGCACCACTCATGTGACAGTAAAACAGACTTAATCATAAAAAAGACAATTTGTGGTCAAATGTTGTATTGTAATTGTGTATTTTTTAAGGTGGGCTAACACTGGGCGACATTAAATTAGTTGAAGACCTTTATTGGACAGATTGTTATTAAATAGTGTTTTTAATTTTGCGTTGTCCCAGGATATCATTATAAAAGAGTTAAGAAAAGCATGTGTACTGTGAATGGCTCTGTTTGGGTATTTTGTGGGTGTATAGTTAAAGGAGACCCTGGATCCAGCACTGGAGCCAGTCTTGTTGAAGCAGACGTTTGTGGCTGGCGGCCGAACAATGATCCGACTGGGAGACTCAGATATTGACTATGACAAAAATTTTAGGTTCTATATGACCACAAAGATGGCCAACCCACATTACCTGCCAGAGGTAAGGACAGCAGCACACCTACTCAAACCTACTTATACTATATGTGTACAAAAGAAGATACTGTAAAGAGATGCAGTAATATGTCAACCAGCAAAACCCTATAGCTGAACAGTCTAGGAGAATAATAATAATAATGGATTGCATTTATATAGCGCTTTCCTAGGCACCCAAAGCGCTTTACAATTCCACTATTCATTCACTCTCACATTCACACACTGGTGGAGGCAGCTGCAGTTGTAGCCACAGCTGCCCTGGGGCAGAATGTGGCTACAGTCTGCCCCAGGGCATTTAGTGTGAGAATGGGCTCACACTAAATGCAGTCATGTACTGTCTCATTAGTTCAAGCCAACAGTGCATGGATACATCACAGACATTATAAAAGAGAGACATGGACTCCAAAGAATCCTGAATTAAAACCACAAAGACGATCATTGAGACCAGCAAAGTAGTTCAAGGTTTCATTGTGATTTAATGAGTTTCTGTTTCCACCTTTTAAGGTTTGCATCAAAGTTACAATTATCAACTTCACTGTCACTAAATCTGGCTTAGAAGACCAACTTCTCAGGTAAATACATGCACACACATGAAAAAAGCTATTGCATTTCAACTATGTAACAAGTAGAGATGGACCGATACGATATTACATATCGGTATCGGAGAGAAATAAAAAATGTAATCCGATCCGAAGTATCACAAAATCACCTCACAAACGCGCTACTTGGCGTAACCCAGCTCGGCACATCGGAGTAGTATGTGTTACGTGATAGAGCGGCTGTTGTCTGCAGGACCTGTCGGCGGTCTGGTGGAGCATGTGGAGCTTCGCTACATGCTTCCAAACTGCGGCATGTTATCTCGGCGAAAACTATCCCAGAGAAGTAAAACAAGTGTGTCAGTTCATCCCTGAATGTTTGCATAGTATTTCCACGTTAAGCTTAACAACTGATATATTGAGCCACAGCTGGACTGACCATCGGAGTTCCAAAAGGAAGCAATTTGTCCCATACTTAGCTAGAATGAAAAAAAGACACAAAGCTGGAGTTATTCTGTCCTTGCTGCAAAGCTGATTCTTCTTCTCTCACTCCCCTTCCTGTTGCTACTTCAAACAGGAAACTGATCAATGATCAGCTGGTCGGCTTTTCTGTCACAAATCCTGCCTTTCTTGTTTGAGAGAGAGAAGACCAGTGGATAAACAACAGCAGCACGTTTAAGCTTAATTAGCTGTTGTTAGAATTTATTTAATATTACTTTCTAGTATCAGTTGATGTTTGCTGGAGCCACAGCTGTAAAAGCTGCTGGTCATGATGTCGGTTTGGATATGTGGTGAGAGGGAAACTTGTAGATGAAACCAGGAGATGTCCTTACTGAATGATCAGAGCTGAACAGGTGATGGAGAAGCAGGTTTACCTTTTAGGTGACATGAATGAGTTGAAGAGAAGTTATGAACTTATGCATTTGTTTTACAGGTGCATTAAATTAAAGTTGATGGTTCTGGGAGATTTATGTTAGGAGTTGGCAACCCTATTAGTTAGGTTGTTTAATATTTCTGCTAAGGACTCTTTAAAATACCAGAATAGGAAGGATGGTGCAGGTTTAAGTTTATTAGATTGATCAGTGTTGCTGAACTATAAAATATTTTGGGTGCAGTGTATTTTTTGCAAACAAGTATAACAGAATAGTTTTAGTGTCTTGTTTTTTAAAACTTGAGTATGAACTTATACAAAATGTAGCAAGATATTTATTTAAAAAGAAGTTTTGTTGATTAAAAAAAAAACGCTATATCGGATTCATATTGGTATCGGCAGATATCCAAATTTATGATATCGGAATCAGTATCGGACATAAAAAAATGGTCTCGTTTATCTCTAGTAACAAGCATTTACAAAGCCATCTACATTTTTAAAAAATGGATAGAAATACTGCACATAATTTTATGTATCCTGGTAAGTAAGTAAGTAAAATTTATTTATATAGCACATTTCACAGATAAAAATCACAAAGTGCTTTACAATAAGATCAGACATACAAGTTAAAATTAATTAAAAGCCCGTTTGTATAAAAATGTCTTCAGCTGCTTTTTAAAGGAGTCAGTAGAGTCTAGACAGCGTAAAGACAACGGCAGAGAGTTCCACAGCCTAGGTGCCAGTGCCTGAAAAGCCCGATCCCCACGTGTTTTAAACCTAGTACGTGGGACCACCAGTAGCCTCTGACCTGAAGACCTAAGTGCTCGGGATGAAGCATGAGGTTTCAACAGGTCAGAGATATACTGGGGAGCTTCACCGTGCAGAGCTCTAAAAGTTACAACTAAAATTTTAAAATGAACCCTAAAATTTACAGGCAACCAATGAAGAGAAGCCAAAACTGGAGTAATGTGTGACCTCTTGTTTGTACCAGTTAAAAGTCTTCATTATCCTAATTGTATGTATCCTTTTCCCCCTTTCTGATAATGACCTCTGGAATCTCTCGATTCAATCTGTTTTCAATCTGTTTTAAGTGATGTGGTGCGTCTTGAGAGTCCGCATCTTGAGGAACAGAGGAACGAGCTGATTGTGCGCATCAACGCTGACCGCAGCCAGCTGAAAGATATTGAAGACCACATTCTTAAGCTTCTCTTTACCTCTAAGGGGAATATACTTGACAACGAGGAGCTAGTTCAGACTCTCCAGGAGTCAAAGGTAGGGATTAGGCTATATGGATATGGAGTTGTGGTTGTTGAATTTAATATTACCTGCAATGATCCTTTCCTGTTTTTCTGATGTTCATCCTGTTTATTTCCATGATTTTTTGCATCCTCTTGTCTCCAGGTGACTTCAGAGGCCACAAAGCACCGTCTGGAAGAGGCAGAAGCAACTGAGCTGATGATAAACTCTGCGAGGGAGCGCTACAGGCCTGTGGCCACTCGAGGATCTGTTTTGTACTTTGTCATTGCCAGTCTGTCGGAGATTGATCATATGTACCAGTTCTCACTCAAGTACTTTAAACAGGTGAGGGAAAAAAGAGCTGGGCTTTACTCTCAAATTTACAAAGCTACTTGTACAGGAATGTTTAATGAAAATGTGTAAGTACCCATTTAAAGAAATTATTTTCTTTTTTTCTCTCTTTTTTGTTTATTTCTTCCTTGATCTTCAGCTCTTTAATTCCACCATCGAGACATCAGAGCAGAGTACTGTGCTAGAAGAGCGCCTTCAGATCCTCCTGAATCAAATCTTGCTAAACTCCTACATTAATGTGTCACGTGGACTCTTCGAGCAACACAAGCTTATCTACAGCTTTATGTTGTGCGTAGAAATCATGAGGCAGCGTGGCGAGATCTCTGATGGGGAATGGTGGCGCTTCCTAAAAGGAGCTTCTTCACTGAAAAAGGTGAGGTGGGAAATCCAGCCATAGAAGTTCAGCTTGATAAAAGCAATCATGAATAAAATAATTAACTAAAAGAAAAGATTTCCTATGATTGTGCTCATGTTTTTTTATAACCTCCTAGGACCTGGCATCCACATATGTGGGCATCACATTTTGGGTTATTTAGACCAAAATACTCAATTTTGCTCTACAAGGGCCTGATATCCACTTACGAGGACATTATACTGCTACTGTTCTATCGAAATTTTATATGAATATCCTCATACGTGGCTCTCATTTTTCTGAGAAACAAAAAAATCTGGCAATTCTTTGTTTTTACATTTATCGGGTCCCAATCGGCCCAAATATCAAAGAGAAATAAAAAATGCGTGCTGTGGAAGAGTGCAGGTATTAGGAGCTTAAAGAAGCATATAGTGATGGTGTTAACCCACCATTTGTTTTTTATGCCACTAGACTGGAGGCACTGATTGTTAGCAGTCACAGTCCTCATGCTAGTTCTGTTCTTCTTTCTCCTACACCTCTGTTTTAGGTCTCCCGTTTATTGCCTCTTAGCATTTACTGATCAAAGGTTTGGAGTAACAGGGAAATGTATGTTTCTGACAAAAAGCAAGCTTTTTAAAAACCAAAATAAAATAACAGTAGTTTGATTGAATACGCTAAAAAGGAGTAATGATTAATCGAATCATTAAGTATAAGGGATTTTAATGAAATATTTACACAGGTGTATAGAAGCGGATTTTCAGACTCATCACCCAAATATCTGAAAGCTGTTAATCCGAGTAAACACTGAATACATCTGACTAGTGGAGTGCCTGCAGGTGTAATCGTAGTTGGTGATTCAAACAAGAACTTTTTTAGTGATCCCAAGTATTTCAGATTAAAGTGACAAGCTGCTTGTCATAGAAACCATTTGTCATCCTCCCCTCGCTCTTTTATAATTCTAGTTAACTTTCTCTTTACTTACACCAGTCGATAACAATATGTCTACTAAATTTGTGGGCATAAACTTTTCTTTTTCTGCATCTTCCAGGAGTATCCAGAGCGACCAGATGTGCCATGGCTAAGTGATTTTTACTGGCAGACATGTTGTGAGCTGGAGGACACACTGCCTTGCTTCAAGGGCATCTCCAGAGAAATCACTAGAACCCATATCCATATTAAGCTAGGTACCCTATCCCCATTGTTATTGTTGTTGAGCTGATAAGGATCTGTATATGTCAGCATGTTACTTTTAAATATAAAACTAGAATGTTTGACCTACATACACTCTGTCATTTTTCATTTTTATAAAGAGATGTTCTAATCATTCTTATCATTTACTTACCAAACTATGTACAAATCCTATGTCTGATTCCATAGAATTCCTTTTCTCTTATAGGGCATTTTGAAGCATCTTTAAATCCAGAAAAATGGAAAGGCTATGTGTCAGAGTTGCCTTCTCTCGAGGAGTCCAAAAAGGAGAAACAGGAGATGAAAGGATACTGGAATGAGCGATTGGGATCTTTCCAGAAACTAGTTCTTATCAAGAGCTTCATGGAAGAGAAGGTGAGCCTGGATGAAGTCCGGGGAAAGATATTTACTGAGGTTTTCATGATTGTTTTCTAGGTGAAGAGGATCATTTTAAAAAAAGTGTAACTTTTGTCAGTATTAAAGAAAGGATCTCAGTAAAAGAAATAAATGACATGGGTTTATAGCTCTCCGCGGAGCTTTCCCATCACCACCAAAGCTTGGTCAATTTTTCCCAGCTTTTCTGTGATTTATATCCTCTTTTTCCATCCAGGTGGTTTTTGCAGCAACTGAGTTTGTGATTGTCAACCTGGGGAAGGAGTTTGTGGAAAACCCTCCAGTTGACCTGGCTAATCTCTATAATGACATGTCCCCTACCACCCCATTGATCTTCATCCTCAGCACAGGTTCTGACCCAATGGGTGCCTTCCAGCGCTTTGCAAATGAGAGAGGGTGTCTCGACAGGTAAGGGAGAAAAAATGGTTAGAGAGGTCCCTCCAACATGGCTCGCAAAAATGTCTTTGTTTTGTTCACCAGGCTGTGACATCTGAGATATAGACATATATAGCTGGTTGGGTTTTTATTTTTATTTTTAATAGTCAGTAGCTTCTGTCTTCTGTAAGTCAAGTAGTGGGAGGTTTTTAGGATGATGCCATCAATTTGACTGCACCAAGCAATAATCTGCAACTTGCACTGGGACAGTTCAGCCATGTGGTTCTCTGCCAGAAAAGGGTGGATTGTCCTCTTCAGTTTGAGAATGAGTTGCTTCCTCAAATGAACAAGTTCAAGTTTAAGACTACAGATACAAGCAGTGGAAATGAGCTGTCTTATAAAGGGTTTCTAAGCTCAGTCTCAGACATAGGATGAGGAGTTGAGGAGGGGCTCAGAGTAGAGCCACTACTCATCCACATCCAGGAGGCCTTCTGGACACCTCTTACACGAAGGGCATGTCCAAAGGTCATGCTGGGTCATATCCAGAAG